GTCTGCATAGCAATAGCCGGATTACCTTGGTAACATTAACGATACTGTGGTCCATTCCCAGGGAACTGGTGCTGGGCCAATTACACCGCCCCGGCCTCCCACACTAGCAGAGGCGGTGAGAGCTTGGGACAGAGGCGAAGGCCTGCGTTAGGCATGACCAGGGAGCATCGCTGAGAAGCAGACACTCAGAACTCTCCGTGGTAACAACCAAGTCCGTCTACTGCAAGCAACCACAAACTCACCACAGAAGAAAACGAATAAGCAACACGAACATGAGAAGACAGGCAGCACGATGCCTCCCAAAACTTCCAACTGCCCAAAACCAGTCCCTGGGATACAGAGCCCTTCCCTTCCTCTTCGTGCCCCAGGGGGCTTGTATTTGTAATCCCACGGAAAGTTACAGCATTCTAGTGAGTTAGTTCCAATCCACCACTTCCAGTGCAACCCATGGAGAGAATAAAGACACGAAGTCGTGTTTGTAGTTGTGCGGAGCCCAGGGGTCCTAAGTCCAGCCACAGCGACGGCCATCTGGAACAAAGGCCTCGACCCGGGGCCAAACCAGGTTTTATTAACTCCCATGAAGAAGGGAGTACCCTGAGGATGAGTGACCGTGAGAATGGCGGGAAGCAGGTGAGTGCTGTGAGCTGGGCTAGGTAGCAGGCCTGAAATCACCGCTGCAGTACGCAGAGAGAAGGATCTGCAGAAGGTGTGATCTGCATGATACAACTGTGATAGTATCTAATGTTTGGGGTCGGTGACAGCGCTGATGCGTAATCTTCCACACCTCAGGAAGTCGTAGCCTCTATCGCGAGGCTTGGTCCAGCTTGATCCTGGCGTGGAGCACTGGCTCTTCATCCCGCCTGCCCTGGCTCACACAGGGGACAAGGGGGAGGGGACAAGGGGGAGGGGACACGCCTGCCGAGACGAACAGCAGCACCTCGGCTGGACTGATCTGCATCGCTTACAGGCAGTTGAAGAGATAAGGAAAAGTCCCAGCCAGCTCTGTACATATCAATACATGGAAATAGGGGCAGGCTTAGCTAAAATGGAGACAACTGCTCCCCCTTCAAGCACAGCGCCCAGGCGGACCTCCACAGCTCCCCCTTCTTTGCTTCGAAGAAGCTGGAGCAGAGTCGGTCATGGTGGAATGGCCTCTAGTTGGTGCCGGGTTTTGTGAGTCCTCCACGACACACTTCAGTGAGAGGATGATAAACTAGAGAACGAGCACACCAAGCCCAACATAAAACCAGAAGTGAGCCTTGAGATGCGCAAATGGACCCAGTTGTTCTACAGCAACCGCAATCTTATCCCAGTCTCTGATCTGGGGATCAAACGTGTCTGTCCTTTGAGACTCTGACAGCCTCTCTCGAAGAGCATCTGTATCCATGCTAGTATTCTGACGGATTGTCCTGGTAGGTTTCCGATCACTCCCCGAGGATGTGGACTTCCGCTGTACGGTAACGGGGGGTGGGGGGGGGAGGCGACACAGAAGCCGGCATATCACAGGGACGCTGTAAACCTTGCTGCCCTTGCAGACTTTCCGTTTGATCTCCCACCCAGGAACGGAGGTTTCTAGGAGGCTCGCTGGGGTCTGCAGCTTTATATTAATATCTCGCTGAACTTCCCAGCTGCCATCAGCAGCTTCTGTGCTATTGTCTTCGCAGTGAGCGGTTAGCACTGAACGAGCTAACGCCGCAGGACCAATAGCTGTGCTATCAAGAGCACCAGGGAGTTTATGCCTGCTATAATTAGTCCAAGCATCCTCTTTGTCTGATTGACACATCTTTTAATCAAGTTCTCTACCAAGAAGGGTTAACCGAGTGATAGCATGGCTCCGTTAGACTGACTGCTGCCGAACGCCAGGCATCCTGCCCACGATCCCCCCTGTGGAGGGCTAGAAGGGTGCGCAGGCGTGATACGATGGTTAGAGGACAGAGAGTGCGTGAGAACATGTTCTGCTGCCGCTCCATGCTCCCTAACAGTTCATGGGGATCATAAGCACGGGTACTTGCGTGTGTCTACGTCCTTGTACTACTTTGACTTTTCCACCATCTACCGGCTGCAGATGCCCCATCTGCCCCGTTCGGCACAAAAAGGCAGGACTCGCTTCCGTAAAGCGTGTTGTATGGGCCTGGCTCTGTCACTGACAGTGAGTCTGGGCCGGGAGGACTGAAGCCTCTACTCAGCACGTAACCCTGGAGAAGGCTCTGCGGTCATGGCACAGCTGGGAGAGCCTGCAAAGGCAATCCCGTGCCAACCTCAATCCTTTCCCAGAAG